AGTATAGTTGTGTTATTTACTATAGTTGTGTTATTTACAATGATTGTGATATTTACTATAGTTGTGTTATTTACTATTGTGTTATTTACTATGGTTGTGTTATTTACTATGATTGTGTTATTTAACAGTATGTGTCAGTTTGACATTGTGTTACAGTGTTAAGACAGATAGTACTCTCCCCTTCACGTCTTTTATTGTTTCCTGATCCGAGCTATTCCTTCCATGCGGCTCTCGTGACAGACATATATAAATAGAAGTGAGTGACTTCCTGCCTGTTCGACACGCCTGACCCACGTGCTGGTGTTATTGTCCCATTACGCAGCCACACACAGATCAATACTGCTGGTCTATATAGCATTGTATTCACCACCAGACTTAACACGCATATCAACACAAAGTCAGTGGAAGTAGACATCATATGTCTTTAACTGTAGCACTTTACTCTCATATGAGGTAGGTCAAGACATGCTTTTCTTATTTGAATTTTTACATATTTTATTATATTTGTGGTGTTTGGATATTTATGCATTAAAGGCAGAGGATTTCAGCCTATTCTTCAGTTTACTGGCTGTTTTGTTTTGTTGTGTCAAGCATCAGTTTGATCTTTTTTTTAAAATTCAATATTTTTCATGCATCCATTGTTCATAGAATTGTTTCCAAATGATAGAACTCTAAGGTGGGTATGTAATCTCCAGCCAGTGTTTAACTGTGATAGACATGTAGTTCCATCCTGTCTGAGGATCTTGGAGGTTTTTCTGTTGTATTTCCAGGGACCTCCATTATATGTGACGTAACTTTAAGATTGAAATAACTACAGTCTCTAACTTTGATTCTAAATTTCGAGCACTATGTACCAGGAATGGTATGGTAATGTCTGTATGTTAACATCAGTAGAGATGCAGCAATCGTTCGTCTGTGTACTTGTTATACAGTCAGTGGTTCCTGTAAGAACCTGATCCTGTGTAAAGGGAGACAAGGATATTAGTCAAATTACCTTGATATTGTATTTACTTGGATTGTTTTTCTTAAAATGTCAAGTAGGTTGGAAAAATAGGTTTTAAGGAAAGTTTTGACAGGTTTTAGTAAAGGTATTTTAAAGATTTTTCTTTTATTTATAGCAACAGAAAATGAGTTCTTTATGACATCTCACTTTTTCTGGTTTGTGGAGTAAAAAACTTTTTTTTTTCAGTTTGTTTTTTGAGTGTCCGGATTCATAAACCATTTTTTAAAAAGTCTGACCTTAGAAATAGGTAATTGCCATGGTTTTCTGACATTAGAGCCAATCAGGGATTTGAAACTGGGTTGTGGGGTTGGTGAATCAACAGGTAAATCAGAAGTAAAAAAAAATTACTTAGAAAAAAATGTTTTTAAAGAAGCTATTTCTTGTTGAAAATATGCTAAAACTAACCTCAAATCCACTCTTGACAAGATTAATATTTTCTAAAGTTGCCTCCTCTACTTTGCCTATTGATGAGGAGCAGTTGATTAAACATGGTGAAGGTGAAATAAGAAATTTGAAGATAAAACCAATCACATATGAATTTAGAAAGATGCAGATTCCAGTCTTAGTGTCTGTAGAATAATATAATAAAATGTGTTATATTTTGATCGCTGTGACTGTTTGATTGGCATTCTAGAAGTTGGTGAGTAATTAAGAAAACTTGTTACTTTATGGATAACTGCTTCTGATTTATTGCCAAAAGCAACGTTTTGATGTAGATTCTTACATCAATATCAAGCTGGAGTGCACTCAACCAGATATTGTTATCCATAGAGTTGTACGTTTTCTTGAATGTCATCGTCCCTGTGATTATGAGTCAGGGCAAAGGGCAGGGGAAGTCCGGCTGTGTGACTGGACACAAATTGTCACACATGGCCTCTCACCTATACGTGTTACCATGAAACTTACATTCCATTCCAGCACCAATGCTTTAAAACATGTGCTTATGTCATGTGGTCAGGCCAACTGGGTCAGGCCAACTGGGTCACGCTTCCGTCACCAGTCACACTGACAAGAGACATGACCTTTGTGTACACCGAGTGACATGCGGGTCAAGTGGTTGTGTCATGAATTGTAATTGGGACAGTTTCTCCCTTCTCTGCTGTCAGCTCGACCCTGCTGACTTCAAGCAATATTTGTACATGACACTGATGGGACCTGTGAAGATCCGGGGTAGAATAGGTCTTCAGCAACCCATGCTTGCCGTAAAAGGCGACTATGCTTGTCGGTAGTGGCGACTAACGGGATCGGGTGGTCAGACTCGCTGACTTGGTTGATGCATGTCATTGATCCCAATTGTGTGGCTCGATGCTCATGATGTCAATCACTGGATTATCTGGTCCAGACTCGGTTATTTACAGACATATAGCTGGAATATTGCTCAGTGTGGCATAAAACAACAAACAAACAAACAAACATCCACATGCAAGTTGTTTTCCACAAATTTTGATCTGCATCCTAATATTTCACAGTTCAGCTCAACTGAATATCCTTTATGCACTGGGTTTAATACTCGTCTAGAGCAAGTCACTGTGTATTTGTCAATGATGAACTGATCTGTCAAAATTAGGATTATCGTTTCAAATTTCCTCACGACATTAAAGTCGTTATCAGATACTTCCCAAGTCAAGTGGTCCGGTAGTATTGTCTCCTTCTTGCTGGTGTCATGTTTTGTCACACTGTTTCAGAATATCTCCGATGTCTTTAGTTGTTTTAATAATTAACTGTATTGTGTTGTACACTACCATTGACAAATAATTTGAGACCCTTTAGAATAGGCCCCTAGCTTGTAAGAGGTGTTTATGGTCAGTCTGAGATTGATTGACCACGTGTCATCATACCCTGAAGGGTACAATTGTGTTCATGATATCCACCACTGGTTTGCCTGGCCCAGATTTGATTATTCACAGGCCTCCCTGATGTAGAGAATCTCACCTGAGTGTCTTTGGACATCTAATATGACATCAAGAGTCGACAAATGTTAAAAGTCTGAGGTTTGCGGAGTGTTGATATTTTGAATTGCTGTGTGGCCTCACTATGACATACTAGCATGGGTCGATTTAACTGCTGGTCTATTGGCCCATGGCCAGTTATAATTATGAAAGGCTTTCTCAAATGTAAAGTAAATAGCTCGGCTGGCTGGTCAAATTTCATCCCTTCCATGTTTGTTAAATTTTTCAAATTTGACACTGCTCATGTATCGTGTAATTTCAGTGAGAAAGTATTTAGTGGGGATGACGTCGTGTGAATGGTTAACTCAACGATCATTTCGGTAGAATGACAAGAAAATCTTTATTTGCTCATAAATTGCCACGAAATGAGGCAAATGGAAGCCAACATTCAATCTCCGAGTGCAGGATAAGACGTTTTAGTTCCAGAGCTCCAGATAAGCAGCGTATCTGCATGAAATACGCATCAGAAATGCAGAAATACGCAGTAAAATAAAATCCAAGCGTATCAAATACGCAACGAACATTACAGATACGCTACAAAAATAAAACTTGTGCGTATCATCAAAATATTGTGAAGTAACCCTGCGTATTCGATTAGCAAATCCACAACTTATTTTGAAATTATAAACGGGCATTCCGTCAACCTGGCCAAACTCCACGATGACAGTTGCATCATGTTCATTTGCCATCACACTTTCTTGTGGAAGTATCGTGGTATTTTTGAGTCCTAAAAGCTCTCGAACCCACACGACACCAGTTTGTAGGGACTAGATGAATAGTGTTTTTAAATATTTAACTCTAAATACCCACATGTGTAAAATCTAGTGGGTAACAGAAATTTGAATACCCAGATAGAATTACTGATACCCAATGATTTTAAAATGCATGGGTAAAATACCAACAACACCAAAAGCTTATCCGGAGTCTGAGTTCTAAAATTTAGTTGTAGGCCAGTTAGTTTGGACAAGGGCCACTAACTTTTGAAAGGAGCAAGCCCTGCAGGCTACATAGGAATTTGTTCTTACATCTACCCCTGACAAATAATGGTGATGCACTGATACTTGGTAAATGATAAAGATGTTATCTGTGTGGGTTGTAAAACTCTGCCCAAACTTCAGGTTACACAGTTCGCAGAGTCTGCTGAGTGTTGATTGGTCAGAATACTTAGAGAAGTGTGTCTGTCAGACGATGGAGAAAATGAACATGAAATCTGTTGAAGAACCATAAAATCTTCCCAATTTCTGTCAGTGTTTTGTGAATAGGTTAATTTCCTTTCTCCAACTCACTGATTGACTGAAGTGCCTTAAAATCTCCATGGCATGACATATGTCTACAGCAGCACTTTTGAAATAACTTAGGCGTTTTGTGGGCCACAGCAAATGTTGCCCCAAGTTTTACAGATGAGCTTATGTGAAATTGTTTTGCAAAAACTTAAATTAGACAGAACGCCTACTTACCAAGTTTCATATGAACTGCAATCCAACATCTCTTTCTTGAAAAAGTAAGTTCTGTGTTTCTAAACACGTCACTATTGTTCAGTGATCCGTCGTATTGTTTTCACAGCTGTTTTGCCTTTTTTGCCCATTGGAATATGTTTTGGCAGATACTCAAGATTGCTTATTCTCTGTTATTGACTTATATTCTGTATGGGGCGGTCGGGTAGCCTAGTGGTTAAAGCGTTCCCTCGTCATGCCGAACACCCGGGTACGAATCCTGACATGGGTATGATGTGTGAGGCCCATTTCTGGTGTCCCACGCCGTGTTATTGCTGGAATATTGCTAAAAGCGGCGTCAACCATACTCACTCACAATATTCAGTACAGTAAATTGATTTAAGATGTTATCAGTTTAATACCGGTATGTTGATTGGTTGAGTTTATTTTCAGACAATTTTTTGTTTCCTACAGCTTGATATCAGCTGAGCATAAAGTTCATCGGAGCTGGAACAGCAAGTTTGTCACTTCAATCAACAGTCTTATGTACAATTCTGTTGTAGTTTACGAGTTGGGAGTGTGTGTGTTAGCTAACGTTTAGTGTTTGTGTTTCAGCCGATGCCTTCCTGTGTTCCCCTGCCTACTTCCAGGCCACCATCATCTGCCTCAAGGCTGTGGAGCTCAATAAGGTGGCACTCCTTGCTGAAATAGAGCCCAGTCTGGTGAGTGGTCATCCCCGGTGTCCTTCAGTGTTTTCATTCAGGACTCTTTTAGCCGTGTGTGTCAACACTTCACGGCTAAGCTATCCCACCCCTACTCCTGTGTTATTGACTGTTGGTTAAGTTGTTCAAGCACAAGGCAGTGAACCCAGGTTCCTTTCCCCAATGGTAAAGTGCCTTGAATCCATTCTTGGTGTTCCCCCATGGTAAAGTGTCTTGATCCCATTCTTGGTGTTCCCAAATGGTAAAGTGTCTTGAATCCATTCTTGGTGTTCCCCAATGTTAAGGTGCCTTGATCCCATTCTTGGTGTTCCCCAATGTTAAGGTGCCCTGATCCCATTCTTGGTGTTCCCCAATGTTAAGATGCCTTGATCCCATTCTTGGTGTTCCATCGATGGTAAAGTACTTTGAGTCTTTATGTTCCCCATTTGCTTAGTGCCTTGAGCACATTCTTGGATTTCCCCAATGGTAAAGAGCCTTGAACTCCTGAAGTTCCCCAATGTTAAGGTGCCTTGAACCCATTCTTTATGTTCCCCTAAGGTAAAGTCTCTTGAGCCCATTGCGTAGTCCTTTACAGATTTGTTGACGTATTTCCGGAGTTACGTTCTCACGGTAATCTCTTTGTGTTGGGAGAGGGGGGAAACATCAAAACTCATTATGGCGTGTATAATGCAAACCCCCTTCAACACAGTGTTTTTTGGATAAAAATGTGCACTATACGGTAACTAGAAAATAAGATAACTAGACTTGAATCATTTTCGGCTGACTTTCACTTCAGACTTGTGGCAAGTGGCTTATGATTACATCTCCATCCTAATCATTAACCATTGAAGTGAAAGTCTACTGAAAATTACATCTCCATCTTAGAGGCGTTTGGGTAGCCTAGTGGTTAAAGCATTCGCTCGTCATGACGAAGACCCGGGGTTTGATTCCCAACATGGGTACAATGTGTAAAGCCCATTTCTGGTGTCCCCTATTGTGATATTGCTCAAAGTGGCGTAAAACTCACTCACATCACTTACATCTCCATCTCCATCTTAACAAGCAGTGTGGATCTATCATGAATGTCAGTGACAGTCAGAACCTGTGTATGACAGTCGTCAATGTATCCACAAGACACATATTTCTGTTTCAGTTGAGTGCAAGACATCGCACAAGATCTCACGCGCGTAGTGCCTCCTTGCCCATCAACCAGGCTGCTCTCACTGACGAGATGAAGAACAGAGATAGGAACAGCATGCTGGGGCCGGCCTCGCCCTCACCCTTCGCATCCCCTGGGAAGGAGAGTGTTCTGAGCACCTCTGATGAGCACGCTGTGGCCATACACATAGGTAAGTGTCTGTCAGAGTGATTAGAGTGTCTGAATTGAGCACTTCTGATGAACACGCTGTGCCCATACACATAGGTAAGTGTCTGTCAGAGTGATTAGACTGTCTGAATTGAGCACCTCTGATGAGCACGCTGTGGCCATACACATAGGTAAGTGTCTGTCAGAGTGATTAGAGTGTCTGAATTGAGCACCATTGATGAGAACGCTGTGGCCATACACAGGTAAGTGTCTGTCAGAGTGATTAGAGTGTCTGAATTGAGCACCTCCGATGAACATGCTGTGGCCATACACATAGGTAAGTGTCTGTCAGAATGATTAGACTGTCTGAATTGAGCACCTCTGATGAACACGCTGTGCCCATACACATAGGTAAGTGTCTGTCAGAGTGATTAGAGTGTCTGAATTGAGCACCATTGATGAGAACGCTGTGGCCATACACAGGTAAGTGTCTGTCAGAGTGATTAGAGTGTCTGAATTGAGCACCTCCGATGAACATGCTGTGGCCATACACATAGGTAAGTGTCTGTCAGAATGATTAGACTGTCTGAATTGAGCACCTCTGATGAACACGCTGTGCCCATACACATAGGTAAGTGTCTGTCAGAGTGATTAGAGTGTCTGAATTGAGCACCTCCGATGAACACGCTGTGCCCATACACATAGGTAAGTGTCTGTCAGAGTGATTAGAGTGTCTGAATTGAGCACCTCCGATGAACACGCTGTGGCCATACACATAGGTAAGTGTCGGTTAGAGCGATTAGAGTGTCTGAATTAAGTACCTCTTTTGAATGTGTTGTGTCCAAACATATAGGTAATTGTCTTGGTTGGAGTGATTAGACTGCCTGATTTGATTACATGACTATCACTAATCAGTTAATTAATTATTTAGAACAAATATCGAATTAAATCATTATTTTGTTGGGAAAATTTGCATTCAAGGCAGTAATCATGAACCTAATGAGCAAGTTTCCATTTGCTTTTGTCTTCAGATCAGAATGTTGAACTGATTTTTGTTAAAGGGACAATATGTCAATGCATTGTTTGTAAACAATAGCCGATAACCCCTAAGCTTACTCGGTTCTGCTTGCCTTTTTCCACGAGAGAATATTCTGCTCCAGTGACCACACTGCAGGTATAGGCTTATCATGTGACCAGACTTTTCTCTTGTTTCTAACCAAATGCACTTATTCTGAAATAAGAACAGGCAGGCCAATTTCAAGCATTTCGGTGTGCTTTACATATTTTGCATAATTATATGGATTTCCTACTACAAATGCGACATTCGGGTGCATTACACTGTAGCTGTACATATCAAAGTGACCACATATCAGTCTCTCTGTAGGAATTCAGTGACAGCTTGTGAAGGATAAATATGTAAATGGAAATAGAAGTATTAAGTTACACGTTTCACATTTCATGACATATGTTTATCTGAAGTGTATACTTGTCCAAAATGAAACAGATGAAAAACACATGCATGGACTGCATAAGTGGTGACGATTTGACAGAGGTATCAGTCTGGCCGTACAGAATTCTAGGAAGGAGAGTGATTGGTTTAATACGACTATGGCACATTTATGTTGTAATCTTGGCTTTGATAAACACTGGCTTCTAATCTAACCAAGCTGGCAATTGGCATTGTGTGACTCATCCATAAGAAAAACACACAATCCTTCTCTTAAATTTGCCTACAAAAATTGACTGAAGCCTGTTTACTCTGCGCAGCACTTGCATTGTCGGCTTCACTGTACGGAGTTCTATTGTTTGGTTTGAGAATTGAACCGTGCATGAACTAAAGGTGTGATGTCACATTTGGAAATGTTTTCATGCATGATTTGATAACATCAGAACCGTCAACATTCTGTCCCTTTATGCACGTCGTGTTTTATGAACTATTTGCTACGGGAACTGACGTTACAGGGTTTACAGTGCAATCAGGGTGATTATGACTGACTTCTGCTCATTTCAAGGTCACTGTGGGTCATAGAATAGGTCTTCAGCAACCCATGCTTGCCGTAATAGGCGACTATGCTTGGCGTAAGAGGCGACTAAAGGGATCGGGTGGTCAGGCTCACTGACTTGGTTGATGCATGTCATTGTATCCCAATTGTGTGGATCGATGCTCATGATGTCACTCACTGGATTGTCTGGTCCATACTTGATTATTTACAGACCGCCGTCATATAGCTGGAATATTGCTGAGTGCGATGTTAAACAACAAACAAACAAACAAAACATCATACTTGATGGTGTGGATCGGTGCTCATGACATCAATCACTGGTTCAGAGTTCAGGTCGTGTACAGGCCTCCATGTAATAGCTGGAATATTGCTGACTGCAGCATTAAACAACCATCTGTGTTTCTCTAGCTTCGATGGAAGTGGGGCAGCCAGTGTTTTGAACCTTGACTAATAGCCCAGTCAACCATAGTATAGATTTGTATTCCCCCCACACACTGCAAGCTGTCGTGACAGTGAAAAAAGGACTCGAAACCTTTCCACCTGTCTCCTGATTGCTCCAGTCCATATGGATGCTGTTGTAAACATGGTGATATACTGTCTTTAGTTTCAGCGCTAACTAGGGATGTAAATTAATTGTCGGCACGCCCATGCATACTTTCTGTTACCTCACCCACCCAGGGAGTATCGGTAGAGCTCTCTTTTCTAAATGTAATCATCTTGCTGTCTTTTCTCCTCGAGTTTTAGTGAGAATTGTTTGAGGAATTAGTTAGAAAGGAATGTCATGTGTTCAAAAATAAATATTTCAAATTTGAATTTTTTCTTGTGGGCCTTAATGTTTCATGTGTCTGTGCCCAAAACTCTTTGAATCCACTAGCCCAAACATGCCTTTTTTTTAATTACCGTATTCGACGTAATAAGCGCCCTGCTGTAATAAGCGCCCACGGCGATATTTGCTAATATATTGGCCAGTGAACAATCCCAATCAGCACCCCTTCCGATTGATAAATGTACACAAGCTTTATTTATTCGTGTATAACACGCACTCGTGTGTTATATCACCCTTAATTATGGGCAATTAAATTCTTGAAAAATATAATCTGTCGTATGTAAACATTTCAGGCTGTTAGCATAAACCACGAAATTTACGACCTTTCCACTCAAAATAATATTCTAATAAGCGCCCCCTATTTCTAATTTTGAGAGCGCCCTGGGCGCTTATTACGTTGAATACGGTATTATTATTATTATTATTATTATTATTATTATTATTATTATTTTGTAACAAAATATATCTACTCCCTATGACTCCACCTTGGTTAAACGCTGATCATCTGTTAACGCTCACCAATTATTTGTACCCCGAAGGTTGCATTGTAGCGAGGGATCACTGTACCAATCAAGGCATACAAAAGTAGACGATGCTGTAACTTTTGATCATGTGTTTCTCATTATAGAAGGGTACTGATTGTACACTACGGGGATAGAATACATATATACAGGTATTTACAATTAGGACACAACTGTAGACCTGTGATGATCTTTGTTAGAATAGGTCTTCAGCAACCCTTGCTTGCCGTAAAAGGCGACTATGCTTGTCGTTAGAGGCGACCAACGGGATCGGGTGGTCAGGCTCACTGACTTGGTTGATGCATGTCATCATATCCCAATTGTGTGGATCGATGCTCATGATGTAACTCACTGGATTGACTGGTCGAGACTCGAATATTTACAGACCGCCATCATATAGCTGGAATATTGCTGAGTGCGGCGTTAAATTACAAGCGAAACCAAAGACAAGACTGAAATATATTTAGCCTGGGATAATTCTAAGTAAATTTCAAACTGGAAACTGAAATTCTTTATCCTTGTTAGAACTCTCAGATCCTTGTTTCATAGTTTTGTCAGAATTGCACAACAATTTGTGTCAAAAGTACATATCAATGACTAATTTATTACTCAACTGAAAGCTCATTGTGAACCAAATCATGTTCTGTGCCGCCAACACATTTCAGAGAACATACAGTTATATTGCTAGATCATAATAGAGTATTGTGAGACAGATATTCATCAGGAACTATTATTCAGGCTGACCATCTGCCACCACTGGAGAAACATAGGCCGGCAGTAACACTGCTGTGGTAGTTCTTGCATGAAGGAAACTGGTCTCTTGCTGCTGTGAACCGCTGTCCTTGGGTTTGGGTCAGTCGTTTGTTGGAGTTGTGTTCCCCTTGACTCCGAAGGAATAGTGTGCTGGACTGCTGGATGCTGTGGTGAGATGCTGCTGTGAACCGCTGTCCTTGGGTTTGGGTTAGTCGTTTGTTGGAGTTGTGTTCCCCTTGACTCCGAAGGAATAGTGTGCTGGACTGCTGGATGCTGTGGTGAGATGCTGCTGTGAACCGCTGTCCTTGGGTTTGGGTTAGTCGTTTGTTGGAGTTGTGTTCCCCTTGACTCAGAAGGAATAGTGTTGATGGACATTGGAGGTGCTGGACTGCTGGATGCTGGGTGAGATGCTACTGGCTGTCCTCAGGAGTGGTCGAGACGGAGGGAGGAGGGTTGTGATGATCTAGCTGATGAGGATTACTTGTGTGTTGAAGTGATTGGTTTTGGAGTGTGAAGATGTGTGAAGGCGAGATGGATCAGTGTACAGTGGTGTCACATCCAGGGTCATGTGCTTCTTGTGTTTGATGGCCCATGGCTAGTGATTACTTGTGCATGGCTAGTGATTACTTGTGCATGGCTAGTGATTACTTGTGCATGGCTAGTGATTACTTGTGCATGGCTAGTGATTGCTTGTGCATGGCTAGTGATTGCTTGTGCATGGCTAGTGATTGCTTGTGCATGGCTAGTGATTGCTTGTGACATGGCTAGTGATTGCTTGTGCATGGCTAGTGATTGCTTGTGCATGGCTAGTGATTACTTGTGCATGGCTAGTGATTACTTGATGGCCTATGGCTAGTGATTGCTTGTGCATGGCAAGTGATTACTTGTGCATGGCTAGTGATTACTTGTGCATGGCTAGTGATTGCTTGTGGCATGGCTAGTGATTGCTTGTGCATGGCTAGTGATTACTTGTGCATGGCTAGTGATTGCTTGTGCATGGCTAGTGATTGCTTGTGCATGGCTAGTGATTGCTTGTGCATGGCTAGTGATTACTTGTGGCATGGCTAGTGATTACTTGTGGCATGGCTAGTGATTGCTTGTGCATGGCTAGTGATTACTTGTGACATGGCTAGTGATTACTTGTGGCATGGCTAGTGATTACTTGTGGCATGGCTAGTGATTACTTGATGGCCTATGGCTAGTGATTGCTTGTGGCATGGCTAGTGATTACTTGTGCATGGCTAGTGATTGCTTGTGCATGGCTAGTGATTACTTGTGCATTGCTAGTGATTACTTGTGCATGGCTAGTGATTACTTGTGCATGGCTAGTGATTACTTGTGCATGGCTAGTGATTACTTGTGGCATGGCTAGTGATTACTTGTGCATGGCTAGTGATTGCTTGTGGCATGGCTAGTGATTACTTGTGCATGGCTAGTGATTACTTGTGCATGGCTAGTGATTGCTTGATGGCCTATGGCTAGTGATTGCTTGATGGCCTATGGCTAGTGACTGCTTATGGCATGGCTAGTGATAACTTGTGCATGGCTAGTGATTACTTGTGCATGGCTAGTGATTGCTTGATGGCCTATGGCTAGTGATTGCTTGATGGCCTATGGCTAGTGACTGCTTATGGCATGGCTAGTGATAACTTGTGCATGGCTAGTGATTACTTGTGCATGGCTAGTGATTGCTTGTGCATGGCTAGTGATTGCTTGATGGCCTATGGCTAGTGATTACTTGTGGCATGGCTAGTGATTACTTGTGCATGGCTAGTGATTACTTGTGGCATGGCTAGTGATTACTTGTGCATGGCTAGTGATTGCTTGTGGCATGGCTAGTGATTACTTGTGCATGGCTAGTGATTACTTGTGCATGGCTAGTGATTGCTTGATGGCCTATGTTTAGTGATTACGTGATGGCCTATGGCTAGTGATTACTTGATGGCCTATGGCTAGTGATTACTTGATGGCCTATGGCTAGTGATTACTTGATGGCAACACTAGCTGATGATGCTGGACTGGAGTAGACTGTGTGCTACATCCAGGGAACAAACATGATCCACTCAATGAGGTGGAAGTCAGCAATATTCACTAATCAGGGGCTGTACATGCCTGGCCAGCTGTACTTGAGTGATTTGTGAGTGAGTGACTGGTTTTAACAAGCCAGAAATGGGCTTCATTGTACTCATGTGGAGAATTGAACCCAGGCCCACGATTCAATCAAGGTCACCCTACTGCCCCTAATGTTTGACTGAAGTGTTATTGTATGTAAGATGCTTTGAGAGACCATGTGAAGTATGTAATGGCCTTTATCTAGTTGCCTTCATATGAACAGTGAATACATTGAATTATAATTGCCCAGGAACAGATAATTATGGTTTCTTTGTTTCTTTGAGGTATATTTATGGGTTATTTAAGAATTGAAGTACTGTGTTTTTCTGAAAATATGCTGTCTAGGTCTAACAATCAAAAGGGGCGGTCGGGTAGCCTAGTGGTTAAAGCGTTTGCTCGTCATGCCGAAGACCCGGGTTCGATTTCTTACATGGGTACAATGTGTGAAGCCCATTCCTGGTGTCCCCCGCTGTGATATTGCTGGAATATTGCTAAAAGCGGCGTAAAACCACAATCGCTCGCCTGCTCACTCACTCACTCACTCACTCACTCACTCACACACTCACTCACTCACTCACTCACTCACTCACTCACTCACTCACTCACTCACTCACTCACTCACTCCCTCACTCACTCACTCACTCACTCACTCACTTACTCACTTACTCACTCACTCACTCACTCACTCACTCACTCACTCACTCACACTAACAATCTCAAATTAGTCCTGACAACATTTTTCACTTTGCCTTTTGCATATTGAACAATACAACCGTTGGAACAAGGATCTAAACCTGCCATAATAAGAATCACCTTTATTAAAATAGATGTTGATAGAATAATCTTGTTCCAGGTTCAAGCCCTGATGATACAAGAACAACAGCAAAAGAGGCTTTACGTTCTGTGCTGAGGAAATCAGGCGCAGAGTCACCTCCCTTGTCGTCAACGCCACCTACCCCCGGATTCAGCTTCTATGACAGAATACACAGCGATCCTCTGTTGAACGTTGACTTCCCAATGAACAGGGGATCTCTTATGTCGCCTGTATTCTTTGACAGTGGAACATTGCCCATGTACGACACCATGGACGGCATTGGGAAGACCAATGCTCGACGGTGCAAGTCACATGGCGATGACATCGTGAAAGGGCCAGTTGTCAATGGCAACAGCCAAACTCTCAGTGATATTTACATTCCAAGTCGGAAAGGTGGACACACAAAAGGTGGAAGAAATGCTTCCAATAACTACGATGGAGACAAGAGGACGAAAAAAGATTCATCCAAACTAGGTCACAAAAGGTCAAGGTCAGATATGAGTGGCATCAAACATGGAACTAATAATCATCCAATGGTGTTTACTAATGCTATTGCTAATGACAACAGTGGCAGCCAGTCCGATTCTACGTTAGTTGATCCGTCTTCGCTGTCATCTACGCTACCTCAGCAAGAGAAAACACAGTATACCGGTTATGGTGAGTTGTCAGGTTCAGAGGGAGATAAACTCTTTTAAGATCCGGGTAATTGTGCCATGTGTTGATCCGTGTTACAATTGGTCTTCAGAAACCATGCTTGTCGTAAGAGGCGGCTAACAGGATTGGGTGGTCAGGTTTGCTGACTTGGTTCATTATAGTCATTGTTTCCAAATTGCATAGGTCATGCTCATGATGTCAATCACTGGCTTGTAATATTGCAGCGTTAAACAACAAACATACAAAATCAAAGGGACATAGTTAGATCTTGCCCTAGTTCATTTCATTGTCATTGGTTAATGGTACCTGGATACTTCTGAAGCCGTCTCATCCTGTTCTTCATCCTGTAGGGGGGCACAGGTGGCCCAGTTGTCTAAGGCGCCGTGATTCGCTGTGCAGGGTTGCATCCCTTGGGCTCACTAGAAACTTATGATTGTGGGTTCGAATCCCGGTTCGCCCTGATTATATTTCTAGGTTTGTCAGCACCATACCCGTGCCCGTGTGGTAAACGTCTTAGACCTGCATCACTTGGTGCTTTCCTCCCACATAAAGCTGACACGCCGCGATATAACTGGAATAATGTTAAGAACGGCGTTAAACCCAACTCACTCACTAAGGAGGTGGGGATCATCCTGGGATTTGTGTGTGTTGCCCTTGTCATATTTGAACCACGTGACTCCCTAAATGTTCAAGCTTCAACATGGACCCTTTGACTGACAAGCTCAGCTTCAAACACTGTTTACTGAATGCTAACGTGTCAATGATGTGCCATTGAACCAATGGTGCCGTTGAGTTGTGCTGATCGTGTGTCATTCACTGTTTGTTTATTTCAGAGCTTTTCCCTCATGTATTGAGGAGGTTGAAGAGTAAGTTGGTGTGCTTGTAACTGGTGCTTTCTGCCCGCCAGACTTTAACGCTCTGCTTGTGTGAGAAATAGTTCAGGCCTAGCGGCAAACTGTTGAAATTAACACGTCTAGAGTCTGTATTGAAGGTTTTGGTTAACACATATCTTGTCTTCAGTTTGTATGGGGAAAAAAAACAAACCCATTAAAACTCATTGTTGTATCTTTTATGGAGAGAAAAAAAAAACTAAAAAAAAATTAAACTATACTCAGGAAAGTAGGGGCAGTCGGGTAGCCCAGTGGTTAAAGCGTTTGCTCGCCACACCGAAGACGTGTAAATAATAAAAGAATAAAATCAGGGGTCACTTTCATAATATATACCATACTTTCTTGAGTGGGATTCCCGACATGGGTACAATGTGTGAAGCCCATTTCTGGTGTCTGCCTCCGTGATATTGCTGGAATATTGCTAAAAGCAGAGTAAAACCATACTCACACACTCACTCAAGAAAGTATGGTATATATTATGAAAGTGACCCCTGATTTTATTCTTTTATTATTTTATTCACATATGCACGTCCACCGGTAAATGTCAAATATGAGGTAGGCGTGACCAAAATACGATTGCCCAATTGGCAACCTTTTTTATTCCAGTTCCCTGCTGTTGGGTAGGTAGGATACACTGTGAAATAACGGAAAAACTGTTTAAGCGGCAAGAAAAGTGACTGAAAATTAAACTAACGCCAGTATTAAAGACTTTTTAGTAATTAGACATTTTGAAAGATACAGTGAGAGAATATCTGATAACTGTCACGATCTCTTCGACCATGTTTCCCGAGGCCTGAAGCAGACACTACCTTCTTCTCTATCCATGATAAGTAGTTAGGCTGGTAGTTCTGTGTTGCTAATGTCGGTGTGACTGTAGGACGAGGGTGAAAGGTCATTTCAACTTGGCTCTGGTATATATATATTACTAATTAGGGCTGGGGCGAGTCCAAATCTACTACCCGGGTACCCACCCACCTATTACCCGACCCTACCCGGGTACCCGCTGTTGGTCTCAAGAGATAGGTACAGTATGTCGGATTGGGAATAGTTTGACTGTAGCCCTGGACAAAATGTATTTAGATACACATATAAATCCATCTGGTCATGCATACACTGACATTCTCTGAAGTTTTATCTTTATTCAAACATATAAAAGTCTGGGTGCATAGTCAGAAAGAAATGCTAACATTAGTGACTTGTAGTGTAACCATAGAGTTCAAGATCATTTTTCTCATTAAACAATATATCACATGACCAACCACGGGTCCGGGTAGTCCTGTGGGTACCCGGGTCCTTCTCAGTACCCACCTGACCCGAGTACCTGAGTTACCTATCCCAGCCCTATTACTAACACTGTCATTCTGAATGCCTTTGTTTGTCTTATCATTATGACCATAGTTAAGTTTCTGAGACTGATGAGGAGATGATTTAAGTTGTGTACAACCAAGCTGGTAGATGACCTGACAGCTTTGTGGCTGCTTTGATAAGAGATGTTTGTAACTATTATATGCTAACACACACGTCCCACACAGGGTCACCCATTACACGCATGTTGCACACAGGGTCAGACATTACACACACGTCGCACACAGGGTCACACATTACACACATGTCACACACAGGGTCAGATATTATACACGTCTCACACAGGGTCACACATTACTCACACGTCGCACACAGGATCAGACATTACACACACGTCGCACAAAGGGTCACACATTACACACACGTCCCACACAGGGTCAGACATTACACACACGCCTCACACAGGGTCACACATTACTCACACGTCGCACACAGGGTCAGACATTACGGACACGTCGCACACAGGGTCACACATTACTCACACGTCGCACACAGGGTCAGACATTACACACACGTCGCACACAGGGTCAGACATTACACACACGTCGCACACAGGGTCACACATTACTCACACGTCTCACACAGGGTCAGACATTACTCACACGTCACACACAGGGTCAGATATACACATGTCTCACATAGGGTCACACATTACTCACACGTCACACACAGGGTCACACATTACTCACGTCGCACACAGGGTCTCACATTACCAACACGTCGCACACAGGGTCAGATATTATACACACGTCACACACAGGGTCACACATTACTCACACGTCACACACAGGGTCACACACAGCTCACGTCGCACACAGGGTCACACATTACGCACACGTCGCACACAGGTTCCCACATTACTCACACGTCACACACAGGGTCACACATTACTCACGTCACACACAGGGTCACACATTACACGCATGTTGCACACAGGGTCACACATTACACGCATGTTGCACACAGGGTCACACATTACTCACACATCGCACACAGGGTCAAACATTACACACGTCCCACACAGGGTCACACTTTACACACACGTCACACACAGGGTCACACATTACACACACGTCACACACAGGGTCACGCATTACAAACATCACACACAGGGTCACACATTACAAACACGTCGCACACAGGATCACACATTACAAACACGTCCCACACAGGGTGAAGCATTACACACGTCCCACACAGGGTCAAACATTACACACACGTCGCACACAGGGTCACACTTTACACACACATCGCACACAGGGTCACACATTACAAACACGTCGCACACAGGGTCAAACATTACACACGCGTCGCACACAGGGTCACACTTTACACACACGTCGCACACAGGGTCACACATTACACAAACGGCCCACACAGGGTCACACATAACCCATATCCCATTGTTATATGCACTATCATTTGTTGCTTATTATGAGCGCCAAATGTTGCAGGCTCCAAGTGTCCACATGTTATATTAAAATGATGCCAAGTGCATCCAGTGATGGGACACAGGTGGTGCAAGACGAGGATGCAGCACTCCAAGCTTTTCCTGGTGACTCTTGGCTTGTCAGCATGGTTGTCACAGAGGTAGTAGGTCTCATCTGCATCAGTTTGAAATGTCCTTCCTCACTAAGCTGGCACTGACAGATCTGAAATACTGACCAACTCACTCACTTACTTACTCAAATGATGAGCTTGATGTTGCTGCATGCGTGCCCTAAAAGGCGACTGTGCTTGTCCTTAGAGGCGACTAACGGGATCAGGTGGTCAGGGTCTGTGACTTGGTTGATGCATGTCATCGTATCCCAATTGCATAGATCGATGCTCACGATGTCAGGCACTAGATTGTCTGGTCCAGACTTGTAGCTGGAATAATGCTGAGTGCAGCTTTAAACAACAAACCAACAGACGAACAAATTGGTGTTGCTGTCTGTATGGTGTATATATGTATGTCTGCCATATTGATTGCAGCAGCATCACTACCAGAATAACGAGGTCATTGAGAAAACAGCTGTGTAGCGGGCAGCCCATATTGAGATACTATTCTGTCTGTGTAGCCAGCAGCCCATATTGAGATACTATTCTGTCTGTGTAGCCTAGCGGTTTCTCATGGTGGCCAAATAATCAAATCTGGACCAGGCAGCCAGGGTGTCAGGACCTCAACTACCCAGAATACCCATAGGGTTTGAGGTGGTCCGATTGGTTTTCATGTAAATACGAAGTGCCAGTCTTCCTACTGCAAGAGAGACCCGTGAAGATTCCGGGGTAGAATAGGTCTTCAGCAACCCATGCTTGCCGTAACAGGCAACTATGCTTGTCGTAAAAGGCGACTAACGGGATCGGGTGGTCAGACTCGCTGGCTTGGTTGATGCATGTAATCAATCTCAATTGCGTGGATCGATGCTCATGATATTAACCACTGGATTGTCTGGTCCAGACTCGATTATTTACAGACCGCCATCATATAGCTGGAATATTGCTGAGTGCGACGTTAAACAACAAACCAACCAACCAACCAACCATTCCTACTGCAAGAGCCCAGCAAGGATAACAAACTTGGAGCAGGCAGTGCCTAAAACGTTTGAATCTACAGTCCCAAACATTGCTGTTAGCATAATTTTCAGTAGATGTTAGTGTTATTATATGGATTATTGTTAGCTAATCTTTTTACCTGAGCCGTACCTGTAGAGATCCAGGTAGAATAGGTCTTCAGCAACCCATGCTTGCCGTAAATGGTGACTATGATTGTCGTAAGAAGCGACTAACAGGATCGGATGGTCAGGCTCACTTGGTTAATGCATGTCATGGTATTGTAACCTTAGGTTCCGGGTACTTTACCCTTCTACCTATGGTCACTTGGTATTAATCAACTACTCCTTAGTTCTAGGGATGATGTAGCTCTCTCAAAATCACAAGTCAGATGGTTTGCTCCAGTCTCTTTTTATTTATGATAGAGTTAATCATAAATACACACACATGGTCCTCAGATATATTCTTGTTGTTGCCTGATATAAATACAACACATACCTAGATGATGGTTGAAGAGCCTGATGGTTTTTTCTGATGAACGTTAACTCTACTTCTTTTCTGACTCGGGGTCCCAAAACCACAGTGAACCTTTCTATTCAGCTGTATGCTCCCGACTCCCCGCACCAATCTCGGACAACTCACAAAATACTATCGATGATAATTTTAGCTCCTCCCTCCAAAATCACATTTGACATCATGAGAAATGAGTCATAATGGTCATTCCCCAATTTCAATAGTAATTAGTTTTATCATCAAGCCCTTTGGTCTAACCAATTTGATTACCTCTCTAGGGTCATTGGTCAACTCGGACATACTCATGTAATCAAATACCCTCAAGTACTCTGCCAGACTGGAAGGCACCGAAAAGATACTTAATCATGTTATTTTGACATTCTAATCAAGCAGTAATACTCATAAATATTTGATCACCACAAGACTAACAATTTTGTTCCATCTATCTATCTCCCTTCTGACATTTTTATTGCAAGACCAATTCTCCTAATTCATTGTACTAATGAAAAGTAAACTCTATCACTTAAGAGAAGCAAAACCAATAATCACTTGCCCCAGGAGTTGTT